CCAAACCATTCTATGATTCTATGAATTATATCACTATAATTTACACGTCATATATGGTTTCAGTAACTGTTCAAGATAGCCAGTTAGCACTGAAATTGAAATTATATTTAAATTTCCCCGTTTTTACATATGGTTTTGCTTACTTTGCTTTAATTTCTCTTTTACCTGCAGTTTTGGATCTTATCTTAGTTTTGCAGTTGCGCTACACTTGAAAGAAAAGTATGGACTAGAGCCGATCCATCTTTTTGTATCAGGGGCACACGCTCCAAACGTAAGTTACAGAATCATTAATAGCACAAAACAAAACAGTATATTAGCTACCAAGAGTAAAAGTAACATTGTACAGTATGGTATGCAGAGTGGCTTTAATGCAAAACAAGCGTTGCTTCTGAATGCCTGCAGAATAATGTTCTGTTTTCTTAAAGGAAATGAATTATGAGGCAGACATGACAGAATATTCACTGCTGTAACCTTAGCCTAGTCTCCTTAAGCTAATGCCACCTTTTTGGAATACTGTATTATTTACTATGACTTTTGGCTTAATAATAAAAAGTAATCAAAATAAAATGTGCCAGTTCTTGCTCTGTAACATGTAAAATAACTGTCTTAACAGAGTCTCTAACAAAAACCTCCTGCACCAGCCCTCAGTACATTTGTCCATGTCTTTCCTTCCCTCCTCAATCTATTTGAGCTTTGCAATCTGTCCTCAGTCCCTCTAAGGTTCTGGTGGTTCTGCGAGTCTTTCTCAGGAAAGCAACCACAACGTGGCTTTTTCCCAGCCCTCCTGTCCTCAGGTCACCATTTGCTATTTTTGTTCTTCTGTTTCTGGGGCTTCTTAGCAATCCTGAGCATGAGCTAGTACATCTTGGAAGCAATTATTATTCCTGCAAATTTCATAATTGTTGGTCTATCCAGTCGAACATTAGTTGTATTTGCACTGCTAGGCTTTTCTTTTTCTTAAATAGATTGTTTTATTAGTTGTATTTCAATAGTAAGAGTCAAACTTGGAACAAAATTAAATTAATGGTTATTTGTCTATGGAAGTTGCAGACCTTGAGGGTACTTGGCTCACTCATAATCTGTTTTCAGCAAACACAGTCTACTAACACTTTCAAAGAAGTATTCTCTGTGGATGTTAAAGTAATCGGCCATTGTATTTTGGGGACTGAGAACCATTGTACTTTTTTACTAAAACAATTCTTAACAGAAGTATTATTTAAAGTACATTCTATACAACGCCTGATCTGTTTTGTCTGGTGCTCACAGTCTGAAGCATTTCTTCCCATCAAAAGCATACCCATATTTGATGCAGATGATGAAGACATTCTTACACATATACAAATTTTGGGAGGAACTCCTTCTGTGCTTCTCCAAAACGAAGACATTAAGAAACACCTGATACTTACTTTCAAAGAAGACCTTAGAGTTCTTCAGACATTTTCGTAAGTTTTTTTTGCAATTTTGTATTACCTTTATATTGTATTTTACAGTTTTACTTCTGTCTGATCATTTCAGGTTTTCTTTTTTATGTCCCTATAATTTGTTCTTGTTTCTGATAGAAAAAGAATATGAGAACAGTAAACATAGTTTTCTCCTTTGTGTGCTTTTCCATTTATATTCCAGTATTTCAGCCCTAGATGAAAACACTGCTTAATGTAGCACCCACTACTGTTAATACAGTAGTGAACATGTCATGGTAGAATTCTACTTAGGATCCAAAGTTAGTAGCCACTAAAAGAAATGTTCTTGCATCTTTTATTGTTTTTGGAGGCTGACAAGCTCAACTGATCATGCTTCAGGATCACTGCATTCAGCCTCCTGATCCAAGGCCCCCCACCCAAACCAGCAGCTTTCAACATCCAGAGAGCAGCCAGATTCTTCTGTCCTAACTGCATCCCCACTGCATGTTACACAGCTCATGTAACTGAGGGGTTAAGGTTTCTTACCTTGGCAAAGACAAGGACACGCTTGGATGTGGCACCCATTTTGGCCATAGGAACCTGATGCTAAGGTCCTGAAACATTAGAACTTGAATATAAGCAGACAACATAATTTATTGTAGGTGATAATTTTTTTATTGCAGGTTGAAGCTCTTTTTTTTTCCTAAATATTGGGTCATTCTTCCTTTAAAATTTTAGACCTAATTGCAGTAGGGTAAGGAGCTAAGAATCCTACAGATAGAGTAATTCCTTCTCCTGATGTTCTGCACAACTCAATTCCTGAAGTGGAGGAGAAAGAAAAAGCTATTTTGTATGTGGAAACAAACTCCAAATACAGGTATCTCATTGAAAGTTTTATTACTACTTTTTATGTTCACAGTTTTGAGAAGGCAGAAAGGAGGAAGCCTTTCTCTTGTGACATTACCTGCTTTAATGGGTCTGAAGATAAACCACATGATTTAGAAGGTACTTCGCTTGAATGGTTTTTCCTCTTATACTTACACATTTTCCTGTTGTATCGAATCAGTTAATGAAATTTTCTGGAGTCTTTTATCTCCTTAAATGAAACAAACCAACAGAGCAGTTTCAATGTGTGAACCAAAACAGTTGATGTGGGATTTAAATAATTATTAAGTAATAACTTTGAAAGAGTTGCGTAAATTGACCACAATATTTTGCATTTCTCTGACATTTTCAATATCTTTTGCAGCCTGGCATGACCTAACAAGTGGAGATATTTCCTTTTACAAGCTTCCTGGAGGTCACTTTTATCTGCTGGAACCCTCTAACGAAATTTTCTTGACAAAACACATAACAAGATGTATAGAAAATGCTGGTGTATGAGATTTCCATCTATTTCAGTAGCAGAAGGTATAAGATTAGTCCACAGCACTTCATAGTAAGTCATTCTGTCTTGTACATTTACATGCAGTTATTCCTTGAAGTTGTTCTGTTCCTCCAGATCTTTACTGCATTCCTTTAAAAGAGGGAGTTTTTCTGTTTTGTTTTGTTTTTTTTTTCTAAATAAACTTTGGCTTTGGGTCTTCAAAAAGTTTTCTTTTCCCTCTTCTCATCTGGGACATGCACAAACCCTTTGCTTCATTCCGTAACCCCATTTGCAAAAAATGACAGCTATGTTATTTTACTTTTAGAGCTTCTCTGTTGTGTGCTCCTGTAAAAATGCTAAATACAGTTTAATACCCACAAGAATCCACAATTCTTACAGAAAGCTTAATTTATTAGGTTCAAGTTCATTTAGAATAAGATACAATCTAAAAATGGAGTATGTATGTCAATGCCCTTTACAGTCAAACAGCTTATGCTTAAAAGATTTTACTGTCAGACTACACAATAAGGAGTAGTATTGCATTTTTCTCAACAGCGTTAGGTCATTAGCTACCCAAGAGTTAGTTATTAGTGGGAAAGTGTTCTAGATCCCATATTTTTCTACCATTGCTTTTGCTTTACAGATATAGGCATTCATGGCGTCCTCCTTTGATAAACCTGCAAAGGAAAGTAGGAGTCATTATCTTTCCTCATTTGTCAGCCCATAAACATGACTACATGATGTAAATTTAAGTGGTGTAACACCTTTTTTCAGGTTCCATGCCTCCCATTTGGCTTTGCCTTTCAAATCTAGCATTCCTGGACATTCTGTGAAAATAAATGCACACCTTTGATTATCATGCAGATTTACATAACAGTTGCTTGATTTCATCAAGATATAGGAATCAATGTGAAGTCTATCTAGGAATGGGAATACCAATATTAATATCTCCAACAGTAGCCTGTTTGTAGAATCCATATAGTTCCTTCAGTTCTTCATCAGTTGGTCTTGTTTTTAATTTTTTTACATCTTCTGCGGCACTTTCGAAGTCAGCCTGATGAAAGAAAAGAAAGTATTAGTTTTCCTCTCAAGGACTATGCTTAAAATATTAAGTATAGCAGGCACTGTAGTAATCATTAGATACTCTCAATTACTCACTTGGGTGTAGTGGTAACTAGGCATTTTCCCATGAAAGAAGGTTAATAAAACCGAAAGTTATTAGAAAGGGAACTAGGCCACCTTAGCTGATAGGGTCAGCACTGCTAGAATAAATAAATCTCTTTTTCAACAATTGTACATCTAAACACCTGGAACCATTACAAACTGTCAGGATATCATAATAAGTCAGGCTGCAGCTTTCCTGAATAGAAAACTGAAACTATGGTTCTATCCATAGATGAGGGAATGAGTGTACTATCAGCAAGTTTGCTGATG